CGGGCCAGCCGACCCCACCGGGCAGTGCTGGCAGTGGTGGGGGGGCGGGTGACACGCGAGGAGCGGAGCAACGGCGCCAACCGCCAGCTGCTCCCGCGCGCGCGCGGCCCCTCCGTCGCGTGGCAACCAACGAAGCAGCTCCCCTACGCGCGCGCGCAGCCCCGCCCTCTTTTTTACTGCATCCACCTCCTCCAGGCAGGACTGCGCACGCACGCCGCCACGCGCATGCGCAACCACGGAGTGGTGTCCCCCGGCGGAAGTCGGGATAGCCGTCCTTCGCCGTGACCCTGACGTCACTGCAGAAGGGCTGCGCGCCTTTGTGAAAGGGGCGGGGTAGGGACCCGGCCACCGGCCCTGTCACTCAGCTCCCAGTCCCCGCACCCCCACTCCTGTGGGCTGCTCTGAGGCATGCCGGGAGATGTAGTTCCCCGCCGGAAGAGGCTGCAAGCCGGGCAGAGGGCCAGTGGCGCGAGCGGAGACTACAAGGCCCAGGCAGCCGCGCACGTACGCCGCCGTCGCATCCGCCAGCCATGGTCAGTACCGGGGGCGCCCTCCGCCTCGCGGGGGCTGCATCCGCGCAACCCCGACTGCTGCAACCCCCCCCATCCCCGGGCTGTATGCAGCCCCTTCCCCCCGTGTACAGACCCCTTCCACCACGTCGGGGGAGGGGGAAGGTGACCCCGGGGTCGGGGTGATCTCTGCCTCGGTGTCCTCCGAGGCGGCAGCCCCTGGCTGAGGCGCTGCAGGTTTTTAGAGGCTCTGGGAAGAGCTGAGGGGGGCAAGGAGCAGCTCTCAAACAAGGGGTGCCACAGCTGGGGCAGCTCTAGCCTTTGTGGGGTGAGGCATGCTGGATGGGTGCGCGAAATCTACCCCGGGGTTAAAAACTTCTTGGCCCTCTGCAGTCTTTTGCAGCTCCTTGGCCCAGGAGACTTGCTCTGCTCATCTTCCAAAGAGTGTGAAAACCATGCCCCCCACGTTTTCCGAGGGGCACCTTGAGGCAAAGCAGACACCCAGCATGTCAAAAAGCCTTCTGGCCTGTTGGGGCACATGTGGTGCTGCAGGCTGGTCTGCAGTGCTACACACCACACATGCAAGCATTCCCCATGCTGCTGCGTTGCAGCTGGGGCTGTTTTCTTGACCCTGGGAGAGCCTGGGGTCAAAAACCCCATGCTAAAAGAAAGCACAGCAGTGCATGTGGTAGCAGTGTATGCCACCCAAAACTGGAGCCTGACTGCTGGGAGCCATGCTCTGGCTCCTGGCCAGGCTCTCTGCTATAAGAACACTGTGGTTGCAGCTCCACAGGACTCCAGGGGTGCCACTGCTACTTGTCCCCAAGGAAGCACACGCTCCCGCTTGTGGGCTTTCTGAACAATTTGTTTTCTATTATTCTGCAGTCAAAAATGAGCAGAAACTAAGGGCCAGTATTTGCCTTTGGTCTAAAAAGTTTGAGGACTGCTCAAAGGCAAGAAAATGCAGCTGTAGCAATACTCTACTAAATGAAGCTTTCAAGTATATTCTTTGCAAGCTGCTGCTAGATTTGAAGTGTACATAGACCACTGTTATCCTAACCCCTTCTCATTGCTTGTTGAGCCAAGTAAGTTTTCAACCTTGTGCAAGGCCTTGCCTTGCCTATCTAACTTAAGTACTAATGCAAAGTTCACTCCTTTGTGTAGGTGGCACAAAGTTCTCCTGTTCCCCCACATGCCTTTTGATAGAGGACAATCTGATGTGTCTAAATAACTTTTGTAGCCACCCGCAGCATAGTTGGCTATTTTGTTTTATCAGTCTGTTTTGTAAAACAGCACTTCTGCACCAATTCTGATAAAAGTCCTAAATCTGCTGCTAGTTCAGGAGTTGCACTTAGATTGAAATTTTAAGTCCTAAACTTCAAAGCAGAATTGGGATATGGACTATTGCATTGTGTCACTGGAGGTTTGCATCTTTCTTTTATAGGCGAATTAGATATCTTCTCCATCGGAATTCTATAATCGTGGAATCTTTGGAAGCTCTCCCGGGACATAAGGGTCCTGTACACAATCCTATAATAAGATACAGTTTCCCCTTCCCACCCCCCTCCCTTGAATATTTCTTTTTCCATATAGAGTGCTAAATCTTTTGTGCCATTTTTCTGGTTCCTTTGCACTTTTAAACATCACATAGCAAAGGGGTCCATGTGTTGGAGGGTATACATTTGAAACTATGCATCCTAATGTCAGTCTAACTTACTCTCCATTTCATATTAAAACTGGCAGTGACTAAAGGTCACCTTTATACTTACCAGACCATGAAAACATTCTTATCGAAATGCAGTAGCCAAATCGTGGATTAAAATGATTGGCCTATATACAAGTGTCTTTTATGAGAGAGGCTGGTTTCCTTCTTTTGACTAGTCCCTCTTGATAAAGGGGTACTATCAATTTGAGAGAGTGATAATTTAAGGGGGGAAAAATACTTAAAAGTAACTTCATTTGTTACAGTGTTGCCATAACATTTTGTGATTTTATTATTGCGGCCTAGCTTATTTGTTTTTTTTCCCCCTTAAAAATCCAGATCCTAATATAGAAAAAAACTGTGTTTGGGAGGGGTCTAGGGAGGGAAGCTGACTCTTGTTTGCCAGTGCTAGATTATAAAACCTGCTTCATGTTCCAGGCCAATTTTGTGACTGTTATCTTACTCCATGTCTTCTCTCCCCTTTTTTGCATGCTAAAGCAGGAGTGTCAAACATATGGCCTGTGTGCCAGTTCCAGCTTGCGGAGGCTCTTCATCCAGGGGTGGAGATGGAGCCAGGGTGATCAGGGCCTGTCACAGGAATCGGGACTCTGTGGCCCCAGTGAACATGGCTCTAGGCAGCAGGGAGGCAAATGGCCATTTGGCCTGCCCCTGCTTTTGCCGCTTCAGCCACAGCAAGTGGCCACCTGCCCCACTTGCTCATGTGTTCTACAGACCATGGGAAATAAAGAACTAGTTTGAAGTCATCTTTGTTTTGCCAGAAGTTCTATAGCACTCATTTCTCATCACATCAAAGTAAGTTCTTACCTGAGTATCTAATTTAGAGGATTTGGGTACCAGATATTTGAATCTTACCCTCTGGCATGCTTCTTTTTTCCTGATGGGCTACTGAAATAGTATATTAGCAGTCCAATTTCTTGTGGAAGAATGCCTCCATCATTTATTTCCCAAAATGGGAAAGAATCAAGCTCATTAGAAATGTCATACTGAAGGCTATGTTCTAATATTTGATGCATAGCATTATGCAACCTGAACAATCTTCTAATTTACTTATACAGTTCTGTAATCTGGCCATAGTCACTATATATAGTCATTACAAAAAAACCCGTAGACCAGAGGAAGACTGCTTCAGAGCTGGATAATACCACTGTCTTTATTTTTGGTCACTTTTAAGACCATTTTCACCTTTTTACTTAAGTTTGTGGTATAACAAAATTTTGTAAGAGATAACTTGTCATTCTGCAAATAGCAGGAAACATTCAAGAGGTGCATACAAATGCATGTGTAACAGTTAAATGATTCAGCTTTAATAAATGTATGCATAAGATTAATGTAGGAATGAATGAAACTGTATGCCTTCAAACTGTAATAATCTAAATTGATTACTACTTAATTTTACAAGGTGAAAATAGACTGCTCCTATATGGCCTCATTTTCTGGTTATCTAATACTAGTCTGATGCTTCAGCACTCAGCTTCTGAATGCTGCATGGGAAAGACAGTTAAATGCAAAAGCAAAAAAATTAATTAAAAACACTTTTTCTTATAATTTGATATGAGATGATGATGAGACCTAAATTATTTGATAAACAAGAGTGCACGTGACACTCTTAACAGTTTGCAGACAATACCCAAGATGCCTGAAATGAAAATTGCACCTGAGACGGGTAGTGGTAACAAAAGGAGGCACAGGAGTAGGCTTACGTAGTATAAGGTTACTTGCATTTCCTTTGAAATGTGCTGATAGCTCTCCCCAAATATATGGACTCAGTCCAAAATAGTTGGGCCTACAACAAAGTAGTCTCTTGTGACTTGTTTGAGAGGAGTATAACCTGTCTTACCTTCAGTATTTTTCCAGCTTCGGTTCCAGAAGTTTGGTCTCTGGCAATTGAGAACTGTGTATTTAAAGTATCATTCTGCCTCTGGAGACTGGGGTAATTCCTGAGCAATAGAAGCTAATATACATACATGCCTTTTTACTGCTGTCCTATTGAATTTTAGTGTACATGTTTAGTTGATGTGTCATTTGCCTCACTGCTGTATCCTTAGATTTAACATTAAAGCTCCACTTGCAAGTACAACTTCAAAATAGTTTATGACAGCAGGCCTTCAGACACTGTTATAGAATTTTAAGCCTCATATTCTGCTAGTCTTCTGAAAGTTTGTGCAAACTCCAAAAGGCCTGGAGCAAAAGATTGGTATGTAATTGGTTGGCTAAATCCATATTTGAAGTGTAGTATTCTTAACTTTTTCAGGTCTGTATTTAAAAAATAATCCCAATACTTCACCTGGAAAAGTACAACCAAGCCTTTGAAGCCCCAGGATTGGAAATATTCCAAGAGTTGTCTTGGCACTACATTTTTGCAGGTCTAGTCTATTCTGGCTGAGGACAGGTGGGAGTGTTGCCACTGGTTTCAACAGAGGCAGGCTTCTGGGATCTGGCCCTCTGCCAAGTTTATTAAATACTTCAGGACATAAGAATATGTAATTTTCAACGGTCTCTCCAATAACTGTCATTAGTACTTAATGATTCTTTAATCATGGTAAACTTGATTAGCCAGCACTGTGTTAAGTCTTAGTGGTTGGTTTGTTTGTTTGTTTTTTATAGTCTGAACCAATTAGAGTCCTAGTGACTGGAGCTGCGGGCCAGATTGCTTACTCTCTGCTCTACAGCATTGCAAAGGGTGATGTCTTCGGCAAAGATCAGGTAAGGGTTGAACTTAATTATCACTGAACCGTGATGAAGAAACTAATGTCAGGATTACAGTTTGTAAAATATGAGACTTCAGGTAAACTCGAGTTATATTTTGTTATAAATCTTCAGATTCCTCACAATGATATAAGTTATTCTCAAAGTACACTAGGTTTGAAGGGACAAAACAAAGCCTTCTGTTATCCTGTATTGTGCTATCTGGATTTGGTGACAAGTCATAATACTTCAATTTGTCAGAGCCTGCTTTTAAATGATCTGTCTTGCTCTCCTACCTGTCCAGCAGGTATTAGTAAAGTTTAACACCACTTGTTTTAAATTCCTTAGTTCACACTAATACATCTGCATTTTTTTTCCAGCCCCTTTTCCTTGTACTACTGGATATCACTCCCATGATGACTGTATTGGATGGCGTAGTAATGGAACTACAAGATTGTGCTCTTCCACTTCTGAGAGGTGACTGAAAGGAATAGACTGTTCCAAAAGACACTTTCCAACTTCAGGGATTTCCCATGGCCTGTGTTAGACAGGACATGATACTGGATATTACAGCTATCCCTTCTAT